ACACACACACACACACACACACACAATATTCTATGAGTGATCACTGTAGGCTGTGAGTTAAGAACACAGGTTCTAGAAGGAATCATTCCAGGTTCAAATTCCAGCTCTTCTATTTACTAGTTTTACTGATTTTAGACATATTATTACTCATTACATTAAGCCTCAGCCTCCAATTTATTGTCTATAAAAAGAGGCTAACAATACTCCATATTACAGGACTGATGTAAATATAATATAATATGTGCCAGGCAGAGAGCCTGGAACAAAGCAAGCACACAAAAAATGTTAGCTGTAATTATTATTACCATTACTATTGCAACAGCTACTCAAAACTGTGCAGGTCAATTTAAGAAGCTTGATAGAATCTCTATGGCTTAGAAATAAAAGCTTATGAGTGGATTTCTGTACTACAGAGAACAGAGTATACTTACAAAGAAGTTTGTACAAAATAGGTTCAAATGTAGAATTATACTTTTAATATGGATTTTCAAAAGCAGAGGCATCCATTAAAGTCTATTAAAACTAATAGATAAGTTCAGCAAAGTTATAAGACTTAAGATCAATATGCAAAAATCTATTTTATTTCCATACATTAGCAATGAACAATCCAAAATGAAATTCTAAAAAAATTCTATTTACAATAGCACTGAAAAGAATAAAATACTAGGAAAAATTTAACCAATGAGGTATGAAGGTTGTACACTGACAACTACAAAGCGCTGCTGACAGAAACTAAAGATCTAAGTAAATGGAAGGACATCCTATATTTATGGATCAGAAGTAATATTAAGATGGTAACACTCCTCAAATTGAGCTGTGAAATCAACAAAATCACTATCAAAATCCTAGCTGCCTCTGCAAAAACTGACAAGCTGATCCTAAAATTCATACGGAAATGCAACAAACCAGAATAGCCAAAACAACATTGGGGAAAAAAAAAGAACAAACTTGGAAGATTCAATTTTTCTGTTTCTAAAAAACTTACTGCAAAGGTACCATAATCAAGACACTGTGGTACTGGCATAGAGACATAAAGAACAATGAAAGAGAACTGGGAGTCCAGAAATAAGCCCTCACACTCATATCCAATGATTTTTGGCAAGGGTGTCAAGACCTTTCAACAGGGCAAGAACAGTCTTTTGGACAAATGATGCTGACACAACTAGATATCCTAATGCAAAAGAATGAACTTAGACTCCCTACACGGTATCATACACAAAAATTAACTCAGAAAGGGTTACACACCTAAATTGAAGAGCTAAAATTATGAAACTCTTAGAAGAAACCACAGGAGTAAATCATTATGATCTTGGGTTATGCAATGTTTTTCAAAAACCACAAGGAGTTAAAAAAAAAAAAACGATGGGCTGGACTTCAAAATTACCCCTCCTTTCTTTGCTCTAGTTTATATATATATATATATATTTTATTGAAGTATAGTCAGTTTACAATGTCAATTTGTGGTGTACAGCACAATACTTCAGTCATATAGGAACATACATATATTCGTTTTCATATTCTTTGTCACCATAAATTACTACAAGATATTGAATATAGTTCCCTGTGCTATACAGTATAAATTTGTTGTTTATCTATTTTATGTATATTAGTTAGTATCTGCAAATCTAGAACTCCCAATTTATCTTATTCTACCCCTTTCCCCACCGTCAACCGTAAGTTTGTTTTCCATGTCTGTGAGTCTGTTTCTGTTTTGTAAATAAATTCATTTGTCTTTTTTTTTTTTTAGGTTCTAAACATTAAGTGTATATTCATAGTGGTATTTTTCTTTGTTC